CTCAAAACCTTGGTTTTTTTGGGAACAATTTAATCCTGGAGGTTTTTATAATTTTCTTTCTTTTTTCTTGTTTTGGACTGAGTCTCCAGACTCTGCCACTGGAATAATCCTCACATCTGGAATGTGGAGCTGGTGGCTGGAATGAGCTTTTGAACTTTTCTGTTCCCTTTGCTGCTTTAAATTCCAATATTGGTAGTTTTTCAGTAGGCAGGAAAAGAATTTGGATTAATTTATTTATATATATATATTTTTATATATATATATATATATAATTTATATTTATTTATATATACAAATAATATAATAAAATATACAAAACATATAAATATATAAATATTTTATATTTATAATATAAATATTAAAGTTGTAAATTTGTATATTAAATATACAAATTTATTTATATATAAATATATATAAATACACACATATAAATATATAACATATATAAATATATAATATATATAAATATTATATATATATATATATTTATATTTATATATTCCTATATTTTTTATAGGAAGTTTCACACCAGGGGGAAGGCAGGAGAGCCACAAAAGATCAAAGAAGATTTATTAGAGATTTTTAGAGTTTTTAACCAAATTTTGGAGGTTCTGACCATGAGGAAGAAGAGAGAGAAAAGCAGTCAAGATAACATCCATTAAAAAACAGTAAAAAAAAATAAATTAAGAAGTGGAATCAGCTTTAAAAATCCTATTTAAACAGAGATATTCACCTCAGAAATAAAAAACCCTTGTGTTGACTTTTCACCACTAATTATTGCTAAAAAAAAATCACCTCAGGGTCTGTGAGCTGCCAAAAAAATTCTCTTTTTTTCCTTCTCTCGGAGAAACTTGTGATAATTTCATTGTTTTCGACAAGCCAACGATGGCTGGGAGATTTTCAGAGTTCCTTTGGGGACTGCTGCACTCCCAAATAAAAAATCAGGGTGGGTTTTGATTTATTTGCAGGGCTGGATTGAAAAAAAGAGTTTTTCCTTGGGGGATTTGCAGCCCTCTGATAATTTCTGGTCGATTATATATAAATATATATATATAATATATTTATATAATATATATATATACATAATATATTTATATAATATATATATATATAAAAATATATAAAATATGTATTTATATATATATTTATATATATATAAATATATATAAAAATACAAATACAATATAAATATATATATAAATATATATAAAAATACAAATACAATATAAATAAAATACAATATAAATAAAATATAATAGAGATAAAATATAAATAAAATATAATATATATAAAATATAAATAAAATATAAATGAAATACAAATACAAATAAAAAATAATATAATACAAAAGAATATAATACAATACAATATAATACAATACAATATAATACTATGCAATATAATACTATGCAATATATAATATATGTTATAAATAATGTAATATTATTATATGTATTATATAAATAATATAATATAGATATAAATACAATATAAATACAATAAAATATAAATATATAATATTGTATATTATAATATTTATAATATACAATATAATATATATACAATAGATATAATATACAATATATATAATATACAATATAATATAATCTATAATATATATATACACATATATAAATAGTATATATAATACATATATAAACAGTATATATTTATATAGAACAACAGGGAAAAACCCTAAAAATGCATTTTTTGGAGTGGATTGCAAGGGATTTAATTGGAATTATTTGGGGTTACCTGTGGAAATGAAGCACCTGACGTGCTGTGGAGAAACGTCTTCGGAGAGAGGCTTCTTCCTGGGGAAGGGGAAAATAAAATGATCAATTTTACAATTTAAAATTTCAATATATATTAAATTTAAATTAAAAATTTAATTTAAATTTTAATTTAAATTTAAATTTTTATTTAAAATTATTTGTGGTGGTTGAAATGTCCGGGATCCTCCTGCCTCCAGCTGAGATTCCAGAGGGGTTTCCACTCTGATATCCCGGGAAAACAGTGGGGTTGGATCCACATAAATAATAAATTTGTGTTGGAAAAATATTTTTGGCTTGGAGTGATGTAGGTTTTGTTCTCTAGTGAAGATTGATTTGCTCACAGGAGTCAAAAAAAAATCTCCACAACTCCAACAGGGTCAAGTTTTCCCAGGATACTCTTTCACTGGGAATTTCATTTATTTTAGTTTTGTGTCAGGAAGAATATTCTAAAGGTTCGTTAGGTTCCTGGTTTTTGTTTTATTATATGTTATTTTATTTATTATATTATTAATATATTTATTATATGTTTTCTATTCATTATTATTATATTTATTATATTTATTATCTATTTGTTATTTCATTATATATTATAATACTATTATATATTATTATATATATTATTTTATTATCTATTATAATACAATATAATATTATCTATTATAGATAATATAATTATAAAATTAATATAATATTATTATATATTATTATATATTAATAAATATTATTATATATTATTATATCATTATTTTATGATATGTTTTTTATTATATGTTTTCTGTTTATTAATATATTATTAAAAGACTTGGCAGTCCCCCCCAGACTTTAACTCACTATTGACTGGTTAAAATTGGCTTAAATCGTGCAAAATGGGTTGTTTTGTTTTTAAATATGCAGCATATTTATATTTATATTTACATTTACATTTATATTTATATTATTTATATGTATATGTATATTTATATTTATTTTCACTCAATTAACAATAGACACGCGTATTGTTTTTCTTAGTGACTCAATGACTTGTGTGCTGCACTGTGGAATTCTTTATCTAATCACCTACTACTAATTAAATAAATTAAATTAATCTTCTAGAAGAAGAAGGAGAAAGAAGAAGGACAAGAGACAACACTTTAAATCTTCTATTTTTGTCTTTTGTTTTCTAAACTAGTTTAAACTTTAACTTTTTCACCCAGTGACTTAAGAAAACCCTCTAATTTACACACTCACACTCTCAGATTTTCTATTTAATTTTCACTTAATTTAATATTTATATTAATACTTTAACTTTAATATATTTAATATTTTAACTTCAATTTAATATTTAATTTTTTTAGTTGTTTTCATGGTGTTATATGAAATTCAGTGGTTTTTTTTTGGATGCCAGAGCCAGGTATCAGAGATAATTAATTAATTTCACCAAAGGAGGAATTTTCTGGAGCAAATCCGAGCGAATTAAAACGAGTTTGGACAATGAGATCTCAGCAGACTGGGAAATGAGGAGTTACATGGTAAAAATGTAAATTACAGAGGGACATTATTAAATCCTGCTTTGTTATCAGCTGATACCGCTGATGGTTATCAATTTTATTGATAATTTTATTGATAATTTTATTGATTTAACAGGGCAATCGTGGCTGCAGCAGAGGTGTTCTGTCACGGGCTGGGACAGAGCACAGTTAAACTGCTCAAAATTCACATTACAATTGTGAATTCCTTCACTATTTATCCCAAGTAAATAATTTTACTCTGCCTGGATGCCCACTGAGCTTGGTTTTAATTTAATTTTATTTTGTTAAATGCAGAATTCAGCCCCTTTTTTTTAATCCCTGGGTGGATTATCAGTATAGAACCTTTCTGTTCTCACCTTTTATAATTAATTACAGCCAGAGAAAATGAGGGCAGGGCTGATCACAAGGGAGGAGGCTGCAAGGAATCAGATTCTTATTTTGTTCATGGATAATTCACATGAATCTCTTCTTAATTTTTATTTCAGCTCTCAGTGGAGTGAGGGGAATGTGATCACTGCGATGACAGGATTTTATTTGGGTGCCAGAACCATTTACAGTCCCAAACCTAACAGCTGAGCCAAAATTTGCCTTTAAAATTTGCAGAAATATTTCTGTTTTTCCCATTTGGTTTGGTCTGAGAGGCATCTGGGTTTCACCTTGGATGTTGACACGGTGAAAACTCAGAGCAGTAAATATCACAAATGTATTCCTGGAAAGGGAGAACACTAAAATAAAAAGAGATTTGTGGCCACCAGGTGAGTTAAACCTGAGGTAAATGACGGTTTCCTCCACCAAAAACCAATTCACAAAAGATAAACTTATAAAAAATAAAATAAATCAAAATATTAAAAATTAAATAAAAGTGAAAAAAAATTAAAAAATAATAGGAATTATTGGGGTAGGAATGATGGCAGACTCCCACCAAGGAAATATTTTGGCTTTTCCCTCACCTTTAAACCAACAAAGCTTGGGATGAAAATGAACTCCTGGCACTTTGGGAACTCTGCACGTGAAAAGTGGGATTAAATTCCAGAAAAGTGGGAGTTTCCCTATTTCTGTCACACATTTCTCAGCTGTAACTTCCTCCCACACTGCTTTTAAATCCCAGGAAAGGCGGGCAGGGGCTGTTCCTGCGCGGATTTTGGACATCAGAGGAGTTTTAAATACGCAGAGAGAGGGAAATTGTCCCTGATGCTAATTGCCAGCACCACCCTGGGATGGAACTGATTTCACAGGGAATCTCCTGGGGGAAAGGAATCTTAGGGAGAAAAGAGGGGAAAAAAAAGGAAGAGGGATGAAGCTGGAGTTTCCAGAGGTTGTTGGACATAAAAGGATTTTGTTGATTGAAAATGCAAAAGCTGGTGAAAAATGTGATTAAATTTGATGCCTGGCAGTTGTCACTGGAATAAAAGTGGGATGGGCTCGGCTGGATGAGTTTTCCACTGCTATGGGATGATGCTCGTAAGGAATAGGAACATTATAAACATATATATAAATAAATATATATATAAATAATTATATTATAATAATTATATATAATATATAGTATATATTATATATCTATATTTAATATTATCTATAAGATATATAATTATAATTAGATAATTATAATATTATTGTATATTATATATAATATATATTGTATATAATATATATTATATTATATATAATATATATTATAGAATACATATAATATATTTTAATATATATTATATATAATAGACATTACATAATAATCTATATTACACATTATATATTATGTGTAATATCTATATTACACATTATATTATATTATTATATAATATATATTATATATATTATGTAATTATGTAATTATAACATCATATATTATAGAATATATATATTTTAATATATATTATATATAATAGACATTACATAATAATCTATATTACACATTATATATTATGCAATTATGTAATTATAACATCATATATTATATAATTATATAATAATTATATATGTTTTAATATCTATGAATATGAATAATATTCTTTATGAATATTCACGAGGAATGCTCCTGTGAAGTGCATCCAGCTGTTCCCACGAAACAGGACAATTCCATGTCGTTGTGTAGAAGTAGGAGATGAGATTCTGCTCCTTACACCAGTTCACAGAGGGATGAAATCATTAATGGATTTATTCTGGAGTAAAAACGGGCTGGAAACAACAATTTGTGCTCTTCTCTGAGTTTTGCTGCCTCAGTCCCAAGGGAATGGAGTGACAGGACAAGGGGGATTGGATTTAAGCTGAAAGTGGGAAGGGTTGGATGGAATTTTGGGAAGGAATTCTTCTCTGTGAAGGTGGGGAGGCTCTGGAGAGGAATTCCCAGAGAAGCTGTGGCTGCCCCTGGAATCCTGGAGATGTCCAAGGACAGGGCTTGGAGCGCCCTGGGATAGTGGGAAGTGTCCAGAGACTGGAATTGGATGAGTTCAAGGTCCCTTCCCACCCAAACCATTCCAGAATTCCACCACAACCAAGAGGCTGAGACAAATCTTGGAAAAAATAAGGATCAGATCCTGGGATTTGGATTTCTCCCCATTGCTGTGGCAGGGGTGAGTATTTATGGGAAAAAAATGAAATCCTTTTTAGTGCCTGAATCCTAAATTGATCCAACCCAGAGCTGTGGTGGGAGAGACAACTCCTGTCTTAAATTCTTAAATCCCTCAGCTCCAAAACTTCCCATCTCATCTCCTTCACCTTTTTTTGGGGAATGTGAACAGGAATTCCAGAAGGTATCTCTGCCAATGATCTTTAAGGCCCCTTCCAACCCAAACCGCTCCACGATTGAGAAAAACTGTGAAATACTGTCGAAATCAAAATGGGGCGGAGAACAGGAGTCAGTTTTCCCTGGAGAAAGAAAGGTTTGACTCCAGCTCCTCATTCCTGAGGTGACGGGAGGAGCTGCTCCTTACCGCGGAGCCTGGCGGCGCGCTCAGCACATCCAGAAGATCTCTGGGATAGGTTTTGGGAAAAGGATCCAAGAATTCACCAAGGGATGGAGAGCGAATGCGCGCAGGAGTTCCTCTGCCCGACCTTTCCTCTGGGAAGAGCGGAGATCTGGAACCTGGGGTGGGAAAAAACAATCCTCAGTGAAAATATTCTGAGCACGAGCGAGAAGGAAGGGTTGTTTTCCACCCCTGGAAGTGGCCAAGGCCAGGTTGGATGGGGTTTGGAGCAACCTGGGATAGTGGAAGGTGATCCTGCCCGTGGCACCGGATGGGCCTTGAGGTCTCTCCACACAACTCAGTTCTTAAAACCAAAATTATTTTCAATAATTCAAATTATTTCAAAATTGAAAAGGAAAAAAAAAATTCCATACTTCTATCCTGTCTATAAAATCACATCTAAATATGAAACAAAGCCATGGAAATAACATTTTAAATATTTTTTGTTTGGCATTTTTGCCCCTGAGGGCTCTGGCACATCCTGGTTTTCCAGGGAATTTATGGATTCCTCATCCCTGGAAGTGTTCAAGGCCAGCTTGGAGCACCCTGGGAGAGTGGAAGGTGTCAGGGTTGGAACTGGATGGGCTTTAAATTCCCTCCCAACCCAGATCCTTCCAGGATTTTAATAGTTTCAAATCTCTGGATCCCATGGATAAAAGCTGCC